ACGATCAATGCATGCACTTTGCTTGTTCATATGGAAGCACCAAAATGCTGATATCATCTTAATTTGATACCTGCTGTGACATTAAGAGTCATGCTATGGCCTTCAAGAGCAAACTCATTTTGCCGCTCAAAGAAAATTTAAGTCAGTGTGCAGATAGTGCTGGTTGCGTCAAGCTAAATTCCTAGCTCGATAATGAATTCTTTTCAGAGACTGATCATAAGACAGACCTCTTCAACATTTTAGCATCCCCTTTCCAGATTCTGTTGCAGTTGTTACACATGCTCATAGACCTTCTGGTGTACGCATATAAGGCTATAAAACAACTTGATCCAATGAAGTTCTGTTGATTCACTTTGTAAGTGGAGAAACCAAAGGATGTGCAAGACATGTCCACTTGAACTCCAAAATTCAGAAATTTGCCCAAAAATTAAGATTTTTTAAAATGGTTTTCCAATCTATCCTTGCATATATTACTGTCAGTATCTGAATTATTTCTCATGCAAATGTCAGGATATAAATGCCATTATGGTAAGCAGGCTTCAATAACCAGCAACAAGTTACCAGATATCGCTACCCACCAACAGGCTCCTAGGGTTTATGGTAAGCTCTACTGTGAATAGTGAATACGACATGCACAATTGGTAACCTGACCACTAACTGAGCCTAGCAAAAAGATTGACAGACTTCCTTGAGAGACAGGCCTGAAAACAATTAACAACAGAACAAACCTGTTGTCCTCAAGTAGGCTTGAAACTTTAAAATAATGCTTATGTTCAGCCTTCCTATTCAATCTGACTGCGCCTGCTAAAATGCAGTTGACTGAAATCAATATTTCAAAGCACATGTAAGTTTTGGGCCCCTGTTATGAGTTTTTTTTTGGTGCAGGCCTAAACAGCCCAAATTGTCCAAAGCAAAGCAAAGTGTTCCCTTGGAAACCAACAAAGCTGAACTCATACCATCTAAATCACTATAGTACTTATAGTGTTGCTAAAATCAAAGTGTGTAAAGCTTTACCTTTAAACTTTTACATGAAAATCAGAACAACTGAGATAAATCTTAGCGATCAGCCATTATCAACTTTGGAACCATAAGCTTGGTCAATTTAATTGCAAAATAGAAAGAGATGCATGTCGGGAGACATCTTTTCGGGGGGAGGGTGTCAGACAGACAATGAATATATAGGACTTAAACGAGCACATCATGTTGAAAGTATTCAAGTAAAATGTTGCCTACTTTTACAAGAAACGTTAAGCAGTCAGTAACTTATGTCATGGCTTAAGTCAGACTTCTCTAGAAAGACTAGACAATTTTTAAGCAATAAAGAAGAAAGTGAAGCAACAAAATGAACTGAATGAGTGAATGACAGGAACGTCAAAGTAACAGAAAAGGTTGCTTCTTGTAACAGTGGAACATACCTATACCAATCCTTTCCTTGCCTCCAATACTTATCCTCAATTCCTTTCCGTGGTAATCTGGAAAGAAACTGCTCTATCATATCCAGGGTTGTCAAGCTTTGACTGAAAACTAGTGCCTTGTCTCCTGCTTCTGAACTCATAGAAAGGATATCAAGTAGCAACACCATTTTACCACTATGACTAGCTTCATCATATATCTTTCCATCAATAATCTCTTCCCACCAGTCAACTTCCTGAAAGAAGAGTAATTCATGAAAATGTTAAGTGTCACTTCTTCAACAAGAATAAAGATTAATACCAAGTAATTGAAGAAGTAGTTTTACGGATGTTTTTCTCTCAGCATTTTAACAGCCAGAGATCAACAGGTGTGATGACAAACGAACATTTGTCAGACACTAATGCTCAGAAAGAATCACAACTCACTCAACTTGTCCATGTGTTCTGCTACATGAAGAACATTATAAACTCAAGTGGTTTACCACTAGAATCCAAATCTAAAAGACGTATTTTTTGTATGTGTGTGTTTCCACCTTACCAGAGAATAAATCAAGCAACATAAAACCTGCAGAGGCTATGCGCAAGTTTAGTCTTGATGTCCAGGAGATCATGTAAGCAAGCAGTGCATAATGGGAAATATGAATTTAACAAAAATCCAATAAAGAGGACTGAGAATTTAAATCAAACCCAGCTGCAGAGAAAACTGTTATATAACCAAAATATTGGAGCTGTGCGAGCATAAACACATATGCTATCTCAATATCTCACCTCATGACTGAAGATGCCGTTACTTTTTCTTGGCATCGCATCCTGCTTGGTCCCCTCTTTCTCTGTATACATATACAAAATAAGGCCCCATTAGACATTTCAAAAAAAAAATGCTACATAGGTCCCCATCTCCTCGTATCCTATTACACACTTCAACTTTTTCCTTCCTAATTTATTGAATATTTACGGATATAGTGTAATATAACTTCATATCAGTTGTATTTAATTATTCGGCTTCAACTTATCAAAGTTTGAAATCATCGTTGCTCCTAATTTGTCTGTTTGCAAAGTAGGGATGTGTTCTTGTATCTGAAGAAACTTAAGCTTCTATCTACAAACATATCGATCCCGCCCTGTATTTGTTGGCACATTTCATGCTTCTCGAGTATATTACATACCTCAAGGCATTTGAAATATTAAGATACTCACTAAGTGTCATTCATAAAAGCAAAGTGAGATGAAGGCGTGAGCTATCGGTCAGGATATCAGCAATTAAGATTCTTCTAAGGTAAAAGTTATGCAAAATGATGAATCCATAAGATTGTTTGAGGTAACAAAAGTGGAGAATAGGTAGGGAGAACAAGTTGAGATGATTTGAATATAGGTCATCCAGAACAATGATTTAAAAAGCTCCCCCCAAGCACACCAAGGCCTAATCGGAACCTAGGCCGCATGCCTAGGTACCGCCTAGGCCGTACCTTACGGGGTCTGCGCCCCTTATGTCGTGGTTGTGATTTCCTCCGTTGTCGCTTCCATCATCCTCCAACCTCCTCTGAACTCCTTTAACCTCCTCCACCAACTACAAACACCTCCAACTCCTCTCACCCTTCAGCAAACCTCTTCCATCACCACTTAAAAAATCCTCACGAAGAAGAGAAATGGATTAGATGATTACGCAGTGTTATTAAAATATTCGTGTTTTATTCTTTTACTGATACTTTGAGCATTATGCTTTTGAAATTGGGATATTATGTGACATGGACATTACTTATTGTGTTTGTGTTTCTTAGTATTTATCATAGTCTACTTATGCAGGATTGATTATGATTCAATCATTTTATTTATTTATTTATTTTGCAATTTTCTATGAATTCAAAGCATCTATTACCAACTATTGTAATTTAAAGATAAACAAATGGCAAACCACCCATGCCCTGGCTAGGCGTCTAGGCTCTACGCACAGGATCCAGCGTCTAGGTTGCTTAGCATTTTCTGTAACCTTGATCCAGAATAATAATGACCAGTGAATTACCTGACAGATTAGCGGAGGTACATGGAGGGAGTCAAAAAAGGATTGCATTACCTATGATTGTAACAACGGATATGGATTGATTCATGTAAGAGGCCCTAGGATATAAATTAAAGTCTTAGTTGTAGTTATTGTTGCATGCCCAATAATGATACTCTTTATTAACCTCCATTATGGCGTCAATAAAAAGATTTGTGGAGTGTCATATATTAGTATTGTAGGTAAGAAACAAACTGAATGAAAGAAAACACCACGCAATGTCATGGTTCATTGCCAAGGAAAGTCAGAAGATCGGCTCTGAAACCTGTAAGCACCTTAAGCTTTGTCCTAAGAGAGGTCATCATGTCAATCAGCTGACATCCTATGTTTTTGTCCTAAGAAAGTTATAGCTAGGAATTTAAATAGTTTAATGGATTATCTTCCGAGTAAGAGCTCAAATTTCCTTTCTCCAACTACGATGAATTCCTACAACGAGGATGGAGCAAATCTCACTGTAGAAAGTGACAACATTTATTGTTAAACCTTGCAGGTTAAACAAAAGGCAACACTACATCTTATACAAACAATTTACCTAGATGAAGTATTTGTCAGCTCTTATACCAGATTATCTGAAGAAGTTACTGCCAGTGAAATTCTTAACTGATGGTCGACAAAATGTAGTATATACTATAATGATGTGTTCCACCATAAACACATTTAAAAATATTTTGGCAAAAATTATATCTGACAAAATATCACATTTGCAAAATACAATCAATACAAGAAGTAGAACCATAAGAAAAAGCTTTAACCTAGAAAATTAAGAGAATACCTCCATTAAATAAGTCACCATTTTCTATATTATCATCACTAGAGCTGTCATCCACAAGAAAGTTCTCTACAGCATCTTCCCGCTTCAAGTTATATCTATGTTCTTTGGCCATTTGCAGAAGACCAGGATGGTTAAGTATCTGTTTCAAATAAGTAAAGTTCGTGAGAAGGAAGAAGAGTGCACCGCAATGTTCAAAGGTCTTTCCACAAACACAAGCATACCTGTGACAGTGTCTGGTAACAAGCAAAGAAACATCTTGTCTTTTCGGAAGAAACTTTGTCACCCGTTAACCCTCTCTCTTCTAAACACTTTCTGTACATCTTCCTTTGCAATGAAGAAAGCTTTACAGTAATCACAAAAACAGTTTTAGGAGGTAAATCATTTTTAACCACATTCATGTCCATCCGTTGTACAAAACCTTTCAATTGTTCATATAGAATGTGTGATCTTTCATTCATGAGTTTTACATCCTCTGCAGTAGAATTAGTGTGCTGTCCATTCTCTATGGGGTTCTGGAAGCTGCATGCAAATGTTATAACATGTCCAGTCTACTGATCAGTACCAACTTTTTATTTAAAGCGCAACCAAAGATTAGAAAATAGAAACAACATTACTAGGGAAAACAGAAGGCTGAAGATATACCGGTTTCTGAATTCAAGGCTACTCCCTAGGAATCCTTCTCGTACAAAATCAACCATCTGTTTCTCAAATAAGATAACAGAGTCATAACCATGATTTATTATGAACTGAACTGCTCTAGAGGTTGCTTTAATAATGAAGAAGCTTCTTACACAGTAATATTCCATTAGGTTGTTCTGCAAGGGTGATCCAGTCAAAGCAATTCTTCTCTGTGTCTTTACTTGTTTCAGTGCATAAGTGATATCAGCCTTCGCATTCTTGATCATATGTGCCTCATCACAAACAAGTATATCAGGTCCATACTGAAAAAGAATTAATTTGAAGTTAAATATGAGTCTCCCAGATCAAAAGCTTGCAGATAAGAATTAGAATGTATCTCACATCAAACATTACATTATCTACAAGAAACCAGCAAAGTAGCAAACCCAGAAACAATCACCGCAAATGATGATGGCAAAAAATTGGAACATTATGGTTGTAGGAGCTTTTTAAGCATAAAGATTGTCACCAGACCAACAAATTAATATTTGAATTTATGGAGGAATAAAACAAAAGCGGGGTATAAATAAAAACGACAAAACCTTTTTATGCCCATCCTTACGTGTTCACAAAAGAAGGTCTTCTTTCTTCATATATCTACTAACAGAATTACCAGAATAAGATGCAACTTAAATTAGCCAAAGCTACTTCCATTTCATGTCACATAATTCACATAGTAGAAGTAACAGTACAGCGCAAGAAGTGCGCATAAGCCAATAACTGCTTCAGAGGATGGGTAATCAGATGGCAGGAAAAATGTTTTTATTTAAATTCCAGGCAGGACAAATGTTTTTATTTTAATTCCACAAAAAGCAGCATTACTTCACAATATATGAAGACTAGGATCAGAATAGATCCTTATTCATAGAATAACTAGATTGCTTTATGAAATTTACTAACATCCCAGAGTTAAAACATCATTGATATTAGAGGGCGGCAATTGTTAACTCTGCATATGCTGGATAGGCACTAATGAGGACTTTTTTTTTGTGGGTGGGGTGGGTTTTTTTTTATTGGGGGGGGGGGGGGGGGGGCGGGGGGGGGGATGTCTGTTTCTTTTACTTTTCCTTGTAGTGCCGCTGATTTGGATGGAATAGGTGGCCACTAGCCAGTTTAGCATGGACACGGACCGGACTGCCTCATTCAGGCTGATTTTGGAACCAGACCTACTTACCCCTCAAAAACGCGAGCTAGAAAGCACCAGCCCAGGTCAAAAGCATGGGTTCTTTGGGCCTATGGCTGTTGCACCCAATAGATATAATTCTATCCATTGAGAGCAATGGCTTGAGAAGCCCAAAGCCGTTGGGTTGAATTGGGGGGAGCGAGAGAGGTTTGTTTATTAAATTAAAAAAAAAGCCTCTCACTCTGATTTCCCCTTCAATCTCTCAAGCCTCAGGTTGTCAAGATCTACACAACTCATTTCTCTAAGCCCCCCCCCCCCCCCCCCTACCTCCCTCACTCACTCAAGTTCTTCGCAGTCCGCTCTGGCTTCTCTTTTAAGTCTTATTTGGAGGTAACTTTAAACTTTTTAGTTTCACAAATGAATGTTGAATTTTCATCTGCACACAACCCTAGCGCTAGAGGTATCACATTAGTTTAGATCTTAACAGTGAGGAAAGAGCGTGGCTACATACTCCACTAAAAAGAAACCAAGAAGCAACAACCAAAAGAATTCTTCTATGACAATGTACTGATAAGGAGGGAAGATGATTGTATAATGTATTGATAGCATATCTGAGGCATGGCACGCTATAAAATGATAATATACTCCCAAGTCAAAGCAAAATCACATGATATAAAAAAAATTTACGTTAGCAGCATGAAAAACTCTGGGAAGACGATAAATGTCAATAGAGTCTAAATTTCTGTTAACCTGAAGTGCATGACAAATTTCATTTGCGGTGTTCCTGTCCTTCACATGCCTTCCAAGTGACAAGCTCCGGAAAGCAGAATAGCCTATCAAAAGGATCCCACCTTTATCTCTCCACTTTGCTAGATAAAATGCTCTTTGATCCCTGGTAGAAGCAATGAAGTTCATCAGATGGATAATCAGAAACTGACTATAGGTTCGCTATAATAGAACCAAATGTGAGCCAAACAATTTGAAAATTAAGCCCAAAGTCTAGGTGATCTTTGAAGGCGTTAATAATGTGATGTCCTTTTCAGACTTAAACAAAACTAAACATCCATTTGTTAGTGAACATATAATTTAACTTGTGAACACGAAGATAAGTCAAATTCCACCAACAATGGACATTGAATGGACATAACCAATTAACATTTCCTGATCTAGCCTAAATTCACGTGTCCCGCTATTACTTATTTCAGATAGTAGATACATTATTGCCAAGGTAAAATATTAATGTGCTCCCACAGTGGTCAATTCATTCAAGTCACTTGCCAATTCTAGAATGCAGAAGAGTAGATCTCAATCATCATAATGAAGGCTCTAAATCTCACACATAATATGGTAGTAAAAAAATTACAAAGCATTAAGGCAAGTGACTCGAATGATGGTCAACACTGCAGAGAAGACTCCAGAAGATGAAAGATCAACACTGCAGAGAAGACTCCAGAAGAATGAAGTAAGGTTCCATAATTAAAGATGAAAGGTCAACACTGCAGAGAAGACTCCAGAAGAATGATGGTCCATTAAAAAATTATTATTACTTATTCCGTCAGTGACCAGAAAATTATGGTCCAAACACCCATCCCAATTTTGTATAGTTGACCAAGATGAAGGTTATATCATACAGTCTGTGTCACAAAAATATCAATGTCATTAACAGTTCAACATCATTTGGGTGAACAAACATGTTAAATTCAGGTAAATTTTGATTGTGGAAACAGTAGGAAACTTCAATTAAAGCATGAATTATCCCATCATTTATGTGGCTAGGAATTTTCCTAATAACTGAAAGTTTGTCAGGATGGACAAACTTTTGAATTCCGGAATTCTCTCCCGACAACTTCAGATGTCAAGGAGCAGGCATTAGGATTTGCATGCAGTTGGCTTGGACATCTGCCTCTTTTTCAGTTCATGCTTCTAGAGGCATAGGCATCTGCATCTGCATCTGCAGACCCCGCTACTTCAAAGGAGGAGAAAAAACTGTTTAAAAACTTTTTATCTTTCAGCAGCTTTCATATGCTCAGCAAGCATAAGCTAAATAATCGTTACCGCTTGAATACTACAGCAAATGAATGATTTGCAAATAGAAATTAGAGCTTGTCAGCTAAATTTGTCTCCGGGTCCCCATAACACTGTTCTTCCATGTCGTTATGATGGAAAAGTATACAATTACAGAATCATATTATTGATAAAACAAAAACTCACTAGCATAAGAAAGTTGGTACCCAATCAAGTTGAAAGTTGAAGACAAAAGTTCTAACTTGGCAAGATGAACCGAAAAAAGAAAAGCAATGATGGACAATGCAATGAATCGTTAACTTACCAAAGTATGTATGTACCTAGAAATATGCTTAACTCCCAAAACATCAAAATTATGCACCGCACACATGTTCCTCCACATCCATGATTCATTATAAACATTAAATGAGTTTGCAGAAAACAACAGTGAAAAAGACCAGTCTGATACCAGAACTCCCCACATTAAGGACAAACAATATGACAAGTGACAACAGTCTCAAAAAGTGACTGTGACAAAGAGATCAGAGATGTTTAGCTTTTTTGCGCTTCCCCTAATTTTTGCCCTCCTAACTGTAATAGCAATCCTTCCATTTCCCAATTTTCATATAATAACAAAACTGGGAAGTGAGACAAAATACTGAGGTTAAAATAGAAGCTGAAAGCTGAAACACTTTGATCAAAATCAAAGAATCTTCACAAGATCAGTCGATCGTCTAAATCATCAAAAGAAAGTTAATCTGAGCACACTTCTTAACTACAGTTGATTGAATCCTAAGCATCCCATTGCCCATCTCACATATAAGTAAAATGGTTCAAACACAGACTAAAAAAGTTATTTTGGAAAATTGAATTTGAATGGTCCATTATGTTCTCCTCATTTTGGACAAATAAGAGCACATTTCAAAAATTAAATATTTTCAATAAAACAAGTTTTTGTTGACGCAGAGGATAGTATGTTAAGAGATAGTATTTTATAATAATAAAATTTTAGTCACCAGCAATGCTGTAAATAGCGGTGCATAGCGTCGCTATAGCGGATTTCATAGCGTTAGCGCTGACTACCGTTATGCTATCAGCAAAAGTGGTGGCAAATAGGGCCAAAACCGCTATTTGCTCGTGATTGCGGGCCATAGCGGGTTTTAGCTGTTAAAATTGCTGAATAGCAATTTTAACCACTAAAACCCGCTTGTATATGGTGAATAGATTTTATATTCTACCCAACCCAAACCCGATCCGTTTTATTATTAAAACCCTATCAGATCTAGATCTCTCTCTTCCTCTTCTTGGCTTTGATTCACAGCCACAAAAGAGAAAAAACTCTAGCTGTCGGTTCTCTCCCTCTCTCTTCAGTGCTCCCTCCACCACCTCAACCATCTCCGGTGCTCCCTCCACCATCTCCAAAGCTCTCTCCACCACCCCCACCATCTCCAATACTCCATCCACCACCTCTAGCATCTCCGGTGCACCCTCTACCATCTCTGAAGCTCTCTCCACCAGTAACATCATCTATATAAATCATCAAATATGCATTTGTAGAATTTTTAGATTTTTTTATAATTTTTCTTATTGTTTAAAATATTTAAATATATTTAAATTTAACCGCTATTTGACTATGCACTATTTGCCGCTATAGGCACAAATAGCCTTAGCGGTACCTCACCGCTATGCGACGCTATCCGCTATCGATAACATTGGTCATCAATGCTACACCACCTAAGTTCTTAAGGACCCGCAATTTCGTTATTGCTAAACAACCTTCAGTAGATATCATTTCAAACCTCAGTTATCTCCATCTCCACTCCACACTCCCTGATCTGCTACCAAATTCTTACATACGATCTACCTAGCAATTCTCAAGTCACTTTGCAGGACTATCTCTTCTAGGGTGGATATCGTCCATGCCTAACCAGAAAAGAATGCAGTGCATGAATTCAGGAAAAAAGCCAAAGGGCGAGATAACATCGATAAAGAACAAGAAGATAAGAAATGATAAGATCTGGGCTGATATGGACCCCTAAAACAAGGCATGGTGAGGGAAGAAGGCTGTATAGCCTAGTTACTCGAACTTTAGCCACACAACTAGGATTGGAAGTTGTTGAATTAATTATCAAAGTTGAGCAGTTATTCGTCTAACTATTTGCTCATATTAGATGTGAAAGATTATTTAACAGAAACAAAATATTTTCTAATATTTCTATAACTTAATAAATCAAATATGAGCATTTACATATTAATTTTGCTTGCTTAAAAAGATTTGTAGCCCTTGTCTTTATGTCCTGGCTCATAAAATACATACTATATAATGTTTTGATTCCTCTTACAGTTGTTAATCTAGGTTGTATACATATGTTGAGAGATTCAGAGGCCCAAATCCAATGAAAGTGCAACGGATTATTTCTTGACCTTATAAAATTCTCAAAGAAAAAGTGAAATAAGCATAGACATATAACACCAGCATAATAAGAGATGATGATGCATAACAAACTAAAATCAATGAAATAAAAAAAATTAAAACGTATAATGAGGATTAATATCCATACCTGGGAACATCTTCCAACAATAAGATGCGAAGAGGTTTCAACTCGACGGGTTTCCACTTTAAGAATTCATATTTCCAGTTGTGAAGTACATTCACAGGTGTAACAATAAGTGCGGTTTTTAATCCTAAATTAACTGTCCTCATGGCAGTGTACAAAAATGTGATAACCTACAATCAAAATTAGCAATTCAGGAGAATATATTGAGATAGGGAAAAAAAGTGATTTTCATGACGCAATAAGCACAAACAGTGCCAAATAAAATATTTTTCCGGCACAAACAAAAATAAAACAAAAGAATCTTCCTTCAGCAAGCATTAACTGGGCAATATTCCACAAAGAATTGGTGATTAAATTTGCTGAACAAAATAAAAGTTTCACCAGAAAACTGCAAGTGCCTTCTTCTCAGATGAAAATAGGGCCACAACAAAATGAAAAGAAATTACAGAAATTTGCAAGCTCTGAATCAGCTCCTAAAAGAGTGTTATCATACAGGTTTGACCATGTAATAGCATTTCTCACAGGTGCTAGCAAATAGCCACTGGCCAAATTGGCACTTGAAGATTGACAATACAACAAACAATTGCTGAAACGCATTACAATGTGGAGAAAAGCGAAACTGAAGCTTCATAGTGATATATCATCAGAAGGCCTTATTATACCTTTAGGGCCAGTGGCCTTGTAGACTAGAGTATAGCAAGAATGTTAGACACACAGTGCAATTGAGGCAATATCACCTCATTCAGCCCAACTCATCTATGAAACAGTGTTTTAAAAAAAGCCAAATATGTGCATGCATTTATCCAGAAAGCCAACACATACTGGAAAATTTATGGGCTTTTGAGACACTTTTAAGCCTCGAATATAAATGGGCTAACATTTACAGAGAGCTGGGACAACAGCATGAGACTTTCATGGTTGTTTGAGCGATAGAATGCTAACATTATACCTTATTAACACTTTTGCTTCCTGGAGTTGCATTAGTATGCCTTAAAAAACCACCCAACCAAGCATAAACTGCTGGATCTAATTTTGCTTTTCAATCAAATCAGTTTCATATCATCAACATGAAATAATATTCTAGGGATAACGACTACAATGTTCAATTTCAGCTAGAGCTAGAACGGCTTCCTGGTAAATTCATTTTTCATCAGTTAGCAGACAGTATCAAATAGTAACTTAGTATTCATTGTCTACAATTACAAGAAAATGTCAATCATAAGCTTGTAGTTCATATCCCCACTGAACTATTTTCATCTAATTTACTTTCACAAGAAACAAAAGAAAACAACACCATGTTCATAATTCTCTTGTAAAGTACTCAGGCCAAAGTTGAGAAAATTAACATTCATAACGAAAACAAAAAAGAAACACTGAAAAAAAACATCTATCCACTAAATTTCAGAGTCAATTTGGAAAACCAACTAATACAGATAATTCTTGCTGGCTTGTGTAAATTAAGGCACAAAAAGGGTGATGGCTATATGTGCAGTGTTAAAGCCCATACGATACTATAAGCATGAACAGCAAATTATGGAACAATACCAAGATATATTTCTTGTTCACATGTGTATGGATATAATATTTTCATTCTAGATATTCTAAAATTAAACAGAACTTCTAAGACATTTGAGCTTGACATAAAATGGAATTCAAGAATATAACATAAAGCCAAATAAAATAATGACATAAGATACATGAGTGTCTTGCATGCTACAGCAAACCTGAAAAGTTTTGCCAAGACCCATCATATGGGCCAAAATGCATCCAAGACCTTTATCCCCTGATTTCACCTTTCTTACAGACTGTATAATATTTTCCCACATAAATCTTACACCTGCAACCTGAAGTGGTAAAATATCAAACAAAAACAGTTCCAACATTAGAAATTCAGAAGAATTTGAGATAACAAAGTATTGAAATTGATAAACAAAGAAGCATTACGAGAATTATCGGTTAAGAGGTGAAATTCTAAATGGCAAATGTCAAGTACATAGCAGCCAGTAAAATAACATACCAAACAGTGGTTGCTGGAAGGTATGCCGCAACATCCAGTACATATAGGCATCATGGTCGATGAGTGATATAAACAACTATGCATATAAGCAATGATAAAATTTACATAAGGAGTATCTTAATTGTCATCTATTTAATAAAATTCTGGGACCTAAACGTAAGCATGTTACAGGAAGGCAAATTAATGACGTTGACTGAATTAAGAATAAAATAAGGATTCAAACATAGTCCACTAAAACTTATAATAAATAGGCATAAATTATAAATAAATGAATAACTGAAAATTGCAGCATTTTGTAATCCATATGCGAAATATCGTATGTAGGTCATGTAAGATAATATGCCGGATAAAACCAGATATGTAGAGAACATTGATTGCAGGGCAAAAAACAAAAAAGAAAGAGATTGCTATGGTGGGGAAGTGACTTAATATCAGAGATGGGTTGCCATACATTATGTTATGCGGGTGCCGCTGCGGGTACGAGAAACAGCAAATTTGCAAAAGGTAGGATACAGGGACACGGCTATATGTGTGTGTACGGATGGATGGATGGATGTGTGTGTGTGTAGAGAGAGAGAGAGGGATAATAATCTACATGAGATAGAGAGAGAGATAATAATCTACATGAGATCAATTTTCTTTTTTCATTTACATGGTATGAGAACTAGAATTCCTATAGCATATTTACGTTTTATTTATTAAGTAGATTATAAATTGGAAAAGTGTTTGTTTTTTAACTATATACCTAACAGCTCTTTAAAATCATACTTCTGAACTCAATATGGGCTGAAACGAACCCTCAAGCGAGTTGCATGAAGTGGGCATGAAACATATATACGTCAACGAATGTTTTAAACTAAAACATGTAATATATAATTGAGTACACATTTGAATATATGTATGCATATTCAAGGAGTATCTTAGGAGTATTCCAGAAGCGTTGGAGTCGGACACGTGTCAGACATGGGTAGGAGCCGATGCAAGGTGTCAGAGTAACTTAGGCCAAATATTATTTACAGTAAAAAAACATACAATTACTTAAAGTTCCAATGTAAGACCAGACTTAATACTGAACTTAACACTAGTTGAAGAATACATATCAATCATGTCCAAAGTGTTTCCTAAACAAATTAGAGAAAATATGACCATTTAGCTACTCAAACTAATGTATGATGTGACAATCTTCCCGGTCAGCATTATTTCACAAATGACATAATAACCAACCTCAGTATGCTTAGTACACTAATGAAACACCGGATTTTTTGTTAGCATTTAGCAACATAAATCGCAGTTTAATCATTATATCGCAACATTATAGGTTGAGGTAGAAGAAACAGAATCAGTAATGACCAATCAGGTTATACATACTATATAGCAAAAGGAGGAAAATGAAGGTACTCAGGCTTAAATAAATCCAGCATCAACCGTGAGATAATAATTACAGTAGAATGATGGAAAATAAGGTGTCGGATACAAGTCAAAATGATTAGTTGGGTCGTTGTCTGGTAAATAAGATGACCAAGGTATAACTCCCATAATGCCTTTGAGTTTGAGTGGGCCATTCGATTTTGAGGCACCCTGAGGGAATATCCCTAATAATTGACTGGTGCATGGGGAAGGGGATGCTATACATCCAAGAGATTACATGGACGCTTAAAGAGGCCTGGATGCCCTAGTTAGCCCAAGACCAAGAGGAAGATAATCATTGGTTGTGAATTAAGGGTACATCAAAGACAACAAGAATAGGTTCTTCAATGCGCATGGAGGGAATATAAAGAATAATAATACAACTGTTTTATTTCAGATGGTTTATTTTAAGCAAAAGTGATAAATAGCTTTAAACATCCAGATTTTATTTCTGAAACAGAATGGCGGCCAGGCAAACAAGAAGCGCAGATAAGTGCACATAAATAACATCCTATTTCAGCCGTGGCGCCGAAATAACAACAGACACAAGTATGCTATAAACTGAGATAATGAATAAAGAATAAACTTGAACGTCAAGAGGAATAAGACCTGATGAGGCTTCAAGTTTCTAGAAATACTAGGAGGAATTTTGACAGGCTCTTCGTGTTCCTCCCTAGCTACGTTTACTATATAACCTTCAGCCGGATCACCCATCATATCCTTTGTTACGCATGCTACATTTCCACTGAGGCTTGAAATATTAATACATGATGATTTGCTAGCAGACTGTACTTGCATTGACTTGAGATGTTCTTGCCGAGCCTGCAGAAAGTAAGTTATGCAGTAAGACCAAAAATTCTTATGCCTTCAGAAAGCGAAATAAACTAACCTTTTCCATTGCAATCTTTTGCTTAGTTTCTTCTCCCAGTTCAGCATCATCAAGTATTCTTCTAATTCTCTTCTTCCGTCTCCTCCTATTGCTAGAAAGAGAAAAAAAATAACCACGGTAACACAGGGTTCAAAGCGCTATTTTTTAAATAAATGCTATAATCATACATTAAAATGTCCCATATAAATATTAGCACTTTACCTTTGATTATCAGTGGCATCGGTGAGATCAATATCACTGTCAGAACTGGAAACAACCGACCCTCCAAAAGCATTTTCACACTCCAAAGCAAGCTTGTTAAGTAGAACTGGTGAACAGCAAACACATTGCCAACCTGATGCTTTAGCTTGTAATAAGCATTCTTCACCAAGATTCCTTGATATGCATATTGTGCAGAATAGCATCTCACATGAGTTACAGCTTAATAGATCATTACACTTCCCACACCATTGGCAGAAATCTGCTAAGTTCTGTAATTAACAAATCACATTAATCATGGAAATCAATATAACATATGAAGTCATGTGCATACTTCTTTATTCCAACAGAAAGCAAATCATTTATGATTACTAGTTTTTTCTAACATCTTTTTCTTCTCTAGAAATTTGTTATAATTTATTTTAAGATCTTTAATACATAAACCTCACATGTATGGACAGAAATATACATATATGAAGACAAATTCTAAGAACCTCCAACCCCGAAAAAGAAGGGGAAGAAAACAAACTCCCTCCCAGTTGAAAAAAAGAAGAAAGGATGAACATACTGCCTAGTTCCCATATCCTTCACCACTGACTAATCAAATGACAACAAAGTGAAAAACTTCCATAATGTGAATATGACTTCTTTGGTCAAATAAAATGATTTACTTACATTTGATGTAAATAGACATAGTTTGAAGGTAAGTTTGTACGTAGCAATATGACATCCTGTTAAAATTACAAGCAATTGAATCATCTTCTTTATATCTGCCTTGTGCAGAATATTACCAAAAGAGATCGATAGAATATTACTGCAGAGTATGATTCTTAACAGCAGTATGAAGGTTTCACTAAAACAGAGAGAACTGATGGTTCTACTAACATTACAAAATCATTAGTTAATGAGAAAGTAAATCTTCTTTTACTAGCCATACCTTCTGATTCATCCTTTCTTCCAGCAGAAGACTACAAGTTTCACAAACAATGACTTGAAGTAATGGATGTCGACGAACTTCTGAGGCTCTCAGTGATTCATAACAAGCAGTACAATGAAAATTTCTCTCGTCACCCCTTCTGCACAATTTTTGGTTGCTTAAACATGGTGAAGGAAGAATATCAACATCTATGATGTCAACTACTTTGCCTTTAGGTGGTAAATGTGCATCACGATTTGGTACATGACAATCATCTGAGGCAAGGTTCACCAGTTGAACTTCATCGTCACTGTCTATCACAACAGTTCTACACTTTTTATTATCAGCTTCCATATCATCACCATCATGTGAGCGCTTGCAACTGTCATTCACATTGGGGTTCTGCTTCTCAATCCCATCAGAAACCAATATATTAGCCTTCGAACTATCAGCAAGATTGTTGCCATTGTCAGTATTGGCTGCATCATCTACATGTGTTTGTGAACATTCCTTTAGAAAGACTTCATTAAATATCCCTTTCTCATTTGCTTCCTGTAATCAGAACATTCAGATATAACATTTATCCCATAAATAATTATAAAAACAATATCAAAAGAATTGCCATAACTAAACTATGATAAATCATTAAAACCATTACTTATATATATACTACCTATTAACAATTTATACACAAGTGACCATGCAAATTGTCATAAACATGGTGACAAAAGGTTATACCTGTTTCAGGCTTCTCTGCCTCTGCCGCTTTAAACGACGCTGCAATTTCATTGTAAGGCTTGCGTCATCCTCTTCTCGCACCTAACAGAAGTTTGTTAAAACATTAAGTAGCATGATTGTACAAAGAACAAAAGATGAGACTTCCAAGAAACTTCAAACAGGAGGCAGGGACTACTACTACTACAGGAGGCAGGAACTGACTATAACCAACAAATGTTAGTATCAATTATCAAGATAAAAAAGAATAAGAATTCTTAACATGCCATGAAACAGATGAAATGATCTGATACAAGTAATAATATGCGCTGTGGCAGTGAATAAATACAATTTCCACATGTCAAAGTATGGAGTAATTATCAGCCAATAAAATTGCGAATGGATGTCCAAAAGATCAAAGTATACTTCATATTTGTATTCATTTATGAACAAACACTGTTGTTTAGTATCCACAAAAACAAGGATTGCAGATTACTACATAGACCACTCAGATACATAACACACTTGTACACTGAAGCACATGCACTCGCACAGATACATGCGAATATTTAGAACTACACTTCTTTTTCCAACAAATCAAATTGGATAGATTTCAGCAGTCTTAAAGTCCCTCTCACTACATCAAAACTCCATAGTTGTGGAGAGCAAGGTTTTAAATGTCGGATGTCGGGTTCATGTCGGATGGCTGAAATCCATGTCGGATAGCGGAAATCGGGGATATATCGGGGGATATTGACTAAATATCGGATTGTCATATCGGGTAGTGTGCATATGTATAATATCATGTCTTAAATGTAATCTAAGCATTCATAAATTCAATATAAGCATACTTTATAAATTCTATAGACTAAACATATAAAAAAGTAAATAATATATAGATTTAGGTTCATAAATTCTTTCTATCGGGTTCATAAGAAACCCTTAAACATGAGAACGGGTCAAACGAGTTTGAGTATTTATCACTAAACCCAAACCCGATAACAAAAAACATATCTTAAAAAAAATACCATATCAGTCGATTTTTTAAAGCTAAAAAATAGGTCGATATGCCTGATATGACCCTGATATTTTCGATTTGGCCCTGAAAACCGATATACGAGTTGAAAACGTCCATGTCGTGTCGGTCAAGCCCTCAAACCGATATGTCGGCCGACATGTCGGACATGTCGGGCGACATTTAAAACATTGGTGGAGAGCGTAAAGGTTTATAATTTTACATTCTAGCATTGCCCCCACAGGTTGAGTGCCCCCGTTTATGAGCCAAAACCTTGGCTCACGGAGTGGTATCATTTCTTTTTTTAAATCCACTTTAAATTGGCCAATATGATTTCAACCTGAGTCGCTCCGGTACCGTCTTAAAGTCCTCACCACTACAGCAAAACTTCAAAGTTGTAGTGATGGAATTTTATATCCTAAAAAAGTAGGTTGCATTCCAACTTGAGATTTCAATCACATATAATGTCACATGTGCAGACAGAGTCAGAGATGCATATACATAGAGGTGCCCACCACAGCCATACATGGGCAGACACACAAAACACACGCACGCACACTGAGAAAGAGAGAGGAGTTGGCTCAAAAGCCTCTCCGATCAAATCCAGTGGTGGATAATACGCGTTACAAACTCCTTTTGGTCTGCAGCATCTAGAGCACCCAGAAATATTAGAAAATGGAAAAATGCCATATAAAAAATACAAATGGATATCTAAAATATGTGAATATGGTTCCATATTGGTTTTTTTGATTTACTTGGATCTTGGAATTACAAATTGGATGTAAATCATACTCCCTTTAAAAGTACGCGTTGGAAAAAATCTTTCCATGATCAATATTACCCTTATTTTTTTAATATTATATTGTTATCCTAATCTATTCTAATTTTCCTATCTTCTTTGAATTTATAATTAAATGATTTATCATATCCATAATGAGACTTAACATGTTATTGGATAAAGGTGATATGTTTGATATAATTCAAATCTTTTACTTATTTCAATTTGTAGAGAAATCTAATTAAATATATGCTAGCCAGCACCTAAAAGTTTTTTGACCTTGTAAAAAATACCCTCAAAATAAAACTCTAAAAAATTATAAAACACTAAACTTTTTAGAAATTGCAAGATAAAACCCTCAAGACTGTAAAATTTATAAAAATTCTGATAATTTCTAACCTAACAGTACATTAAAAATATAGGAGATACAAATATCCCCTGCATAATTTATAATTTATAGAAAATACCCTTAAAGTTTCAAAAATTACAAAAAAACACTCAAAATTCAAATTTTACAAAAAACACGCTGAGAATTTCAAACTCATTAGTAAATTATAAATAGTCTATAAACAATTTACAATATATAGAAAAGACCTATAAGTTTAAAAAATTACAAAAAACCTAATATTCATAATTTATAAAAAAACACCATGAGAATTTCTAACCTATAGACACTAAATGAATATACAAAATTACTAGCAACCCTAAAAATAAAAAAAATTACAAAAAAATATCATACTTCCTTTAAAAGTATAGGTTAGGAAAAACTTTTCATAGTCAATATTATCCATAACTTTTTTTAAAAAAACATAACTAACTAAAAATCTATTAGATTTAAAATTTACAAAAAAAAAACAATCTTAAAGTTTAGTATAGGACAAATTTTCAAAATCAACCTTTTTCGTATTTTAAATAGCAAAACCGACCTCCTAGGAAATTATTCAGCAAAACCGACCCTCTTCTTCTGAAAAGGGTCGGTTTTGCTGTCGAATAAATTTTACGAAATACACGGGACCGCTAGTCCCGTGTATTTCGACCCAGCTTTGAAAAACACGGGACTAGCAGTCCCGTGTTTTTTGCAGACGCTTCGATCGGGGTAAAAACCAAGTACACAGGATTGCTAGTCCCATGTATTTCGAGCCAGTTTTCAAAAAACGATCGGGGGGTAAAACCCAAGTACCCGTGACTTCATCCCCATTTCTTTCACCCAAACCCTTTCAACACAACTTCTTTCACCCGCTCCTCAACCCCATTTCTGTCTCGACGCCGACCACCGCCGCCGCCGACCAAGCACGCTCCGACCACCGCCGCCGCCGACCAAGCGCGCTCCGACCGCCGCCGCCGACCAAAGTAAAGGTGTTTTTTTTGTTAATTTTGATTAGCCATGAAATTTCCTTCTTAGTTAAGATTTAGGATTATGGTTGAGATTTGGGAATGGATTTAATTGAGATTTGGGATTAGGGTTGAAATTTGGGAATGTATTTAGTTAAGATTAGGGAATTAGGGTTCGGTTCAGTTGGGACTAGGGTTTTAGTTGAGATTTGAGAATGTATTTAGTTGGGATTAGGGTTCTAGTTGAGATTTGGGATTAGGGTTTAACCATGATTAGGGTTTAGACATGAATAATGTGATTTGAGATTAGAAGATTTGGGATTAGGGTTTAACCATGATTAGGGTTTAGACATGAATAATGTGATTTGAGATTAGGGTTTAACCATGATTAGGGTTTAGACATGAATAATGTGATTTGGGATTAGGGAATTTAGCCATTATTTACTTTGCAGTTGAGATTAAGATTTTAAATTTGACTTTAAATTAAGATTAATATTTCCAGTTATAATAGATTATTTAATATGATGGACTGTTGATTTTCAGCTTTGATGGCAAGCTCTATACACATTATTTGCTTCTTCAATGAGAGCATCGACGTCGGATTGAATAGTATGCCGATGTATGAGAGAGGTTCTAGGAAAATGTTTATGCTAGCTAAGTCATTAAATTTTGATGGAATGATGAATGAAATACAGAGAGTTACGAAAATTAATAAAACATGGTATGTAATTAAAGTGTTCTTCAATTGTCCGATAAATGAGAGTAGAACTATTGCTGTGGCGATTACCGACGATGAGGAATTGAATGACATGAAACAATTAGTGGAGAAGCAAGTGTCAGTTGAGATGTTCATTGAGAAGTATCTGATTCAAGAATTTGCCCCAAGTTTCACGACCTCAAGGAGAGTTTTCTCGGATACTGGACTTAGACAATGAGTCGAGTGGTTTTATGACATCTCCAAGTCAAGAGCCGTAGTGTCAACTACAACATTTAAGTGGGCATTCTCTTGGTGGGATGTCAAGTACTATATTTAACGACGCATCGGGCTATGTTACGGGTGATCTATCGGCCGGATCAATTGTAGAAGAAGTAAATGATGACTCAGAAGATATTGAAGAAGAAGACTTGCAAATTGATAGCATGCATGTGGCAGTTGGAATCGATGATGATTCTCGTTGGATGGAAAAATTTAATGTTAACAATGATTATGTGGAAGCTGAAGATCCGTTGCCCGACGAGTTTCATAATGAAGATTGGATAAATACTTCACAAGCTGAATTTATTGATGTTGGTCCAAACTTTCAACGGCCTGAGGACTTCACTTTTAAAAAAGGGGACCTATTCAAGAGCAAGGAAGCATTGATCTTTGCGGTCCGAGAATGGTCTATCAAAAATCGGGTCAAATTCAAGCCTGTAAAAACTAATGCAACCAACTACTATGTAAAATATTATTTCAACGAGAAGAATGAAGTAGAGCATGCAAATGAGCAAGATGAGAGAAACAGGAAATGTCCTTGGTTGCTAAATGCCGCTGTGAGGAAATCAACAAATGGGCAATTTGTAATATCTAGATATTGCGGGCTTCATACATGTTGCAATCCGTCGGTGGACGTCGATCATTATTCTGCATCTTCCTCTTATATATGTAAGCTAATTATGCATGAAGTTAGAGCTGAACTTGATCTAAATGCAAGTCAGATATTTCAAAGAATATATGATATACGGGGCGTTAAGATATCTAAATATAAGGCATATGATGCAAGGAGGAAAGCGTTGTCGAAAATATTTGGAGATTGGGAAAATTCTTATGAATTACTTCCACAGTATCTTGAAGCTATCAAGCGAAATAATCCGGGTACTGAATATGAAATATTGTCTGAAGAGATTGCACCGGGGATGGAGAGGTTCACTCGAGTATTTTGGGCATTTGGTCCGGCTATTAAGGGCTTCACTTTTTGCCGTCTGTTATTGAGCATTGACGGTACACATCTATATG